TTTTTGCGATGTAAAAAGACATGATATCTGACATAGTTATGATTGAAGAAATCCTAGAAGAGCCTGCTAACGGATAACCTACAATTATGTAAGATAATTGTGGTTGGCTGGAAAACAGCTGCTGATGAATATGCCCCAGAAAAAGGGATCTCGAGATAAATAAAGGCATTCGAAGGAAAAGGAGTCTTAAGGGACCACATACGGGACTTATTCTTGCAAAATGGCCTCCATCCACACCTAACAGGCGATGAGCCCAGGCCTGTGGCGGCCAACAGGCTGAGGACAGGCATTGCCTTGTCCACAGGTAGCAGGGCAGTGGCCCGAAACTTCAGATTATATGGTTGTCCTAAGTGATGGTTTTGCTATTTCTAAGGAGTTGGAAACCATGGTAAAAATTTCAGGAGAGGGGCCAGCCCCATGGTTTAGCGGTTGAGTGCGTGCGCTCCGCTGCTGGCGGCCGGGGTTCGGATCCCGGGCATGCACCGACGCACCGCTTCTCCGGCCATGCTGAGGCCACATCCCACATACAGCAACTAGAAGGATGTGCAGCTATGACATACAACTATCTACTGGGGCTTTGCGGGAAAAAGTAAATAAATAAAAATTATTAAAAAAAAAAATTTCAGGAGAGATATTTTTCCTTACACTTGAGAGAATGACTAAAACAGCTTCCAAAGGAAAAAAAAAGTCTTCCCTCAGACCACAAAAAAACACCATGACCTACAACTCAACAACACAATCTACCAAGCGGCAAGTGGTAGTATTATCTGTGTGTTTCTCTTGCTAGCTTTAGAACTGTTCCAGCTTAGAATTCTATTTGAAATATAAACAGAAACAAACAAACGAAAAAAGCAAAAGGCAAATGTGATGACACTATCAGAGAATAAGAAGTCAGGTGACAGTTTCTAGGTCCCAGATTAGTAACGGAAATGGAAAAAGATACTGGACAATGCTCATAGGCCCTTACAGGAGCGTATTCGTCCTTTGTTTTATGAACACACACGGCTATGAAGAGGGTTGTCTCTCCTTGTGGTGGCTGAAATAATTGTGAGTATCATGGCCCTAATTTTGATCAGCTAATAAAGTCAATAACATTCCACCCAGCAAAAAGCAAAAGCTGGGGCCAGCCCAGTGGCGCAAGCGGTTAAGTGCGCACGCTCCACTGCGGTGGCCCGGGGTTCGCCAGTTCGGATCCCAGGCGTACACCGACACACCGCTTGGCAAGCCATGCTGTGGCAGTGTCCCACATAAAGTAGAGGAAGATGGGCATGGATGTTAGCCCAGGGCCAGTCTTCCTCAGCCAAAAAAAAAAAAAAAAAAAAAGAGGAGGATTGGCAGATGTTAGCACAGGGCTGATCTTCCTCACAAAAAAAAAAAGCTAATGTTTGCCAGGTAATATGCAAGGTATTCATTTTCTAAATAAACAGAACTTTATTCAAGAAAAGTATACAACGAGCACCAGTTCTGTCCTTACAATATTTTCCTCCTAAAATTGATCCATTTCTCCATCCCTACTGTAAACAGCACAGCCACCCACCCAGCTACTTAAAACCAAAAACCGAGAAGTCATCTTTGATTTCCTTTTTCCATTCCCCCACGTCTAAGCCACCAGAAGTCCCACCAGCTCTACTTCCCGAATCCATCCCACACCCACTGACTCTCCTCTCTCTCCCTGGCCACCATCTGACCCCAGCTCCCGCCACCACCTCACTCAACTATGCAACACCCCACCCGGTGCTCCTGCTTCTACGTCTGCCTCCTGCACTCACTCTATTACCCAAAGACCAGGCCGAGTGATCCAGGTGAAATATGGGACAAATATGTTCTTCCCCTGCACAAAACCTTCCAAAAGCTCCCAACTCAAAAAAAAAATCCATATTCCTTCCATGGCTTTCAAGACGCTGAACATTCTGGCTCCTGAGTCCTTTCTGTCCTCATCTCAGGAAACTTCAGCTACACAGGCCCTCAGGCTGTGCCTTGCTTAGGTCAGGACTGCCCTCTGGCCAGGACCTTTGCACTTGCCACTTGAGCTTCCTGGAAGGACCTTCCCTCCAGCCTCACCTCATGGCTGCTTAGCGAGGCATCCCTCCAGATTCACCCTTCCCCACCCCCATTCACTCTCTCGTATTACTCGGTTTTCTTTCCTTCATAACACATATTAGAATCTGATATACATCCATTATCTATGCTTTCATATGTTATTGTTTTGTTTTGTTTTTTAATCTGTCTCTCCCCACCGTGAAGATGATATAAATTTTAGGAAAACAGGAATCTCATTTCTCTTGCTCATTGACGTATCTCTGGAGCCTAAAACACTGCCTGGCATGTAGAATGTATTTGGTAAACATTTGTGAATGAATTAACATGATCACTCAAAGCTCTCTGCCTTTTAGCGTTCTTGAAATTTTAAGTTAAAATGTGAGAGAAAATGTGAAGTTCTTTCATATTTAGAAAATGCCACAGAACAGCATTTCTAAAGCAAAATGTTAGGCCCTAAAAATGTATTAATAACCTGGAACTAAATCAAAAGGGTAGACTGAAATAGGTGAATCCATCAATGGCATCAAATCAAACCTCCGTTGCTCTAACCCCCATGTGTGAGAGGAGAGGGGAGGGCGGGGTGCTCTCGGGGAAGGGCACAGAATCAGGGTGGGAAGAGTCCAGTCATGAGCTTATTCCCACAGGGTGTTCTGTCTCGAAGGCAACTGTCCTCAAGAGAACTGTTGGTTAGAAACCCTCCCAGCGGCGATTTTCTGGAAATCAGCAGAGAGACTAATTATCACAAACTTCTCTCCCCACAGATAAGTGCATTCCTCCCCATTCCCTCACTAATCCCTCATCTACACAACTCCTGTATTGTTACCTGTTCTGGGTTTGAAGAAGACCCTTGGACAATGCGTACAATGAACGCACCCTTCTGTTCCTAAACTGCTGTTGAAGTACCTGGCTAACGTTTCTTACTAGAGGACCTGTAATTTTGTATTTGTTTTGTGTTCAGTTTGGCAGGGGAAGTAGAGAGGAAGTACAGAGCCAAGGAATAAAGTAAGAAGAAAATGCAATCACAGGACATTGGGGAAAGAAATGCCCCATTCCGAGGCAATTACTTCAGACAATATTACAGGATTTTATTTATTCGTAGTTTGCTTTTTACTCTCTAAGCCACACCCAGTGGCCCTTCAGAAGGACGAGGCTGGGAGGAGCCCCTAGTCTCCCTTACACAAGGGTGGAGTGAGTGGAGATAAGCAGCAGCCAGTTCAGTGATTAAAAAAATAGGATTAACTATTCTTTTCAGTTTATTCCAACTCCACATTTATTGACTGAGAAGACTGTTTACTTCTGAGTTTTAAGAGAGGAAAATGCAGTCAATTTGGGAAGAGTTTAACCAAAAAGCAACCATTAGACATGGCTCGTATTTGCCTTTGTTTCTCCCACACATATTTTAATTCCAGCTTGCAAATTGTTATATCTTCTAGAACAAAGCTCTACAGCACTTTTAGGCCTCCACAGTCCCCAGGTTCTGTCTCTATAATAACACACACCTCTCGTAAAGGACAAAGGAAAAGGGAGGAAAAATTTAAATTATCCGATTCTTCCCACAGAGAAAAAGATCTACCAGGCAGTGATTGGCTATCATGTCATTAAAAAATAAATGAATAAGCAAATTTTAAGCTTCATGAGTCACAGCACATCCAGGGGAATCTACTGGCACAAGGAGGAAGATCTCACAATACTTCATGTGATTTATTTTCCTCATACTGAAGGGAGATCAGGAAGACGACAGGTTGTAGTGGGTAAAGAAGAGGAAGAAGAAAAACAGGCACACAGAGACATTTTGTTATTGATGATCGTATCTTAATCTCAGCCAGGGCTCATTTTCATTGTCTTTCAAACTCATCATTATTTCCATCCTTGATCAATAGCATACACACTGAAGAGGCTAATAAGGGGGCGCACTCAGAAGCAATGGAACAAATGAAACTAACTCATCTGGATAAGAACCCATTACTCGGGCCGGCCCTGTGGCTTAGCGGTTAAGTGCGC